CCTACAGCCTACAACCTACGGTGACCTACTTACCACTGGCTATCGTGCAGGTCACGGGTTCAACTCCAGGGAACTGTACAGATACTGTACACAGGTAAGCTGAGGTCAAGGGATCGACCCCTGGGATCTGCATCGGCTACTGCCAAAGGTGAAAACTGTTTCACGATGACCTGATCCCGACAATTGAGGGTCTGCGACAAGTAACCCGAGGGGAACAAGAGAGTCTGGTGGCTTTCACCAAGAGATTCAAAAGACTCTCTCAAGCTCCGGTGGATAGAGGGATGCTGTCGGAAGTAGATAGATGCGTGATGTTTATGGTACACCTTCCCGAAGAAAAAAGGAAAGAAGTCCTTGAAAAAGCCCCCAGGGACTCTGCGTGTTTTGAGAAAGTAGTCGAAGTGGTTTTTACTGGAGGAGGAATGAACGTGAGAGAATACATGAAGGAAAGCCAAGATCTAGCCTTGAAACAAAAGCGAGGTCCGAGAGACGACGCTCCACCGGGAAACGATCGGCCTTCTCAGGGGTTGTCGGGTCAGCGTTGGGGCGGAGGCCAAGGAAACTGGAGAAATGAGCCTGGAGGGGGAAATCAAGGAGCTTGGAGAAATGGCCGAGATAGTGGAGTTAACAGGGGGTCCGATTGGGGGAGCTCCCACTGGAAGGATGCGAGGGACGGTCATTGGGGTAACCCTCCTCGAAATAGGCCCTCGGGTCCAAGACCGGAAGAGCAACTGACAAGGGTTCCTCCTCTGCCTGGAGCCGGAGCGGCAAGCAGCTCAGGGCTTTCCGTCGCGGCTCATCCGCCCATCCATACTCCCGGAGTGGTTGTGTCTATTGCAACGAAGAAAGTCACATCAAGCGCGAGTGCCCGCACCTCACGGAGGCTCTAAGATTGGGAGTCGTGAAGTTGAATTAGAACAAGTGGGTGGTGTGGGCTGATGACGGGGAGCCAGTTTCCTTCTACCCTTCCATGAAGGTGAATGTAAGTTCGTGGAGACCTCCCTCGAAGAAGTCAAAGTCGATCGGTGTTAAGGGTGAGGACTCGGGCCCGGGCCAGTTCTTCCGGGGAGAAAGGGGTTGTGCCTGAGAAAAGCAGTGCGGATGGCGATCAGCCGATGACGAACGCAAAGGTCGAAGAGAAAATGGAGGTGGAAGGAAAAAGGGAAGGAGAGTCCACCTCGCCTCGGAAAAGAGGGCCGAAGAAATTCGAAATGAAATGAACCTTGGACGAAATAGATACAGTGACCCCTCTCAGGCGGACTCTGATGCAGCCCATGCAATGTACGCTACTCGAGTACCCGGCAGCTAGTAAGAATGCTAGAGAAAAGCTTTTGAGTATCACCAAGAAGGTGAGAGTTCCGGTGGCCCAAGGGCCAATCGTCTTGGGTAATGTGGTAACCAAGGAGGGCGTTCAATCCGGGACGGCACAGTCCTCCAGGATCACAATGGAGAGTCTGTCGGGGACGGCACAGTCCTCGAGGATCACAATGGAGAGTCTGCGGGTGAGTTGCTTCTCGGAGGAAGAGGTAAAGAGGTTCTATGTGCTGGGCAGTGGTCAACTTCAAGCGACGGTTAATGGAAGAGATATGAGGGCCTTAGTGCAAGTTAGTGGATAATGGGTCCGAATCGACCGTTTGCCGAAACTCGATCGCCAAAAAATTGGGCCTGGAGATAGACAAAGAAATCGCCATGTCCATGGTCATAGCAGACAACAATATGCAACCGGCCGAAGGAATCTGTCATAACCCGATAATCGAAGTTAAAGGGTAGAAGCAAGCGTGCCATTTTTTTTCGTAAAGGAATGCTCATCGGAGTTAATACTTGGACGAACTTGGCTTAGCGTGGTGCACGCCACTGCGGTTTATCTTTCAGACGGGAGTCAGACACTCTCCATTCAGTCCCCTGATGGAGTGCGTGTGGTTCTCAGGATTGTGGATGCTCAAGATGAGCGTAACCGCACTAGCATCCCGAAGACAGGAGGTGGTCGATCTAGGATGTGCCAAGTCCGCCTAGCTGAGACCCTTTTTTCCAAAAGAATGTCTTCGGAGGACAAAGTGGAAGTCGAAGAGATCGGGGATCGTATTGTGATCAACGAAGTAGGATACGCGAAGGAGTGCGAGGATGAGGAGTTTGGGGGATATATTGTCTTTTTTGGAGGAATCCCTCTAGCCGGCGGAGGTAGAAAACATAAAACTGTGGTAGAGAAAGCAAAACCCGCCGCGGTAAGCCGGGACAAAACAGGGGAAGCGACGATTTCCGAGGAAGAGATAGCCGAGATCATCAAGAGGCGAAAGGAGAAGGAGGGGCAAAGAATCATTGCCCAATGGGTGGAGAGGATGGACATAGGAGACAGGAACCTCACGAAGCGGGAAAAGGAGCACGTGATAACTACCTTAAGGGGCTGCGACAAGGCTACAACCTTTGATGACTCAGAGCGGGGAAGGATAGACCCAAGATATGCCAAACCCGCAAAAATTCATACCATCCCTTACGTGTCATGGAAAGATAGACCCCCGTGGAAGTATGCGCAGAAAGAGGAGGAAATAGTTGCCTTCATAAAAGAGAAAATCAGGACGTTCGTGGCCGAGCCATGCGAAAGTGCCTATGTGAACAAATGTTTTTTTATCCGGAAGGGAGATAGCAACAAGCTTAGATGGATCCAAGATCTTCAAAGAAAAAATGTCGTCACCATCCGAGACGTCGGATCCATACCCGAGGCGAATCTCCTGTCGGAAGGAGCGGCGGGGCGATCCATCTACTCCATCTGTGACCTTTTTTCGGGGTATGATGAGATCCCCCTTGATTATCGTGATAGACACATGACGGCTATGCACACTCCGTTAGGTCTAGTACAAATGATGGTTGTGCCAATGGGATGGACCAATGGAGTCGCCGTTTTCCAAAGGGCGATGATCGCAGTCCTCAAGGAATTCATCCCGGAGAAAGTGGAAGTTTTCTTGGACGACATTCCGATCAAAGGGCCGGTATGGAAGGACGAAACAGAGGTATTTCCGGGGGTGAGAAAATTTGTGGTGGATCACATGGCAGACATGGAGGCGGTCCTCGGGAAGTTAGACGACGTGAACCTTACCGTCAGTGGGACTAAGAGCCGGTGGGCGGTCTCCTCTATCAGGATATTGGTGCAATCAGACTCGCTTTCATTTACATGCATGCAAACAGTAGCGCAGCAAACTGGTGACATGCGCCCACTCAATACTAAGAGATATGGCAACCAGATACGAGTTCACTTCCAATGGCTATGAAGATATAACGCCCATACAACTCTCTGTTCGCATACAGTGGATCACCCTGGATATCCCACACGCGTCTCTCTGAACACTCACACACACACACACTGAACACCAACTATAGCTATGGCGGCTATGGCCGCCTCTACCCTGCCGCTATGGCTAAGCTTCGTCTCTCTGCCCACGTCGTCTTCGAGCTCACTGCAGACCTCCTTGCACAAGTCGTTGTGCAGCGCTTCCGCATGGCTCACGCAGGAATGAATCAATGGTTGGGCGTTGTCTCTTGATTTATACTTCTGCAGTGTGTTGGTCTGGCCCCTTTCCTAGGCCCGAAGTGCACACAGTCCCATGCGGTACTTGCTTGGCTGGACCAGGACTACCTAGGACTGGGACTGCTGACTCAGCACGGGCAGACTCCACCACTTGCCTTACCACTTGCCTCAGCCTAGTCGTGGGAGACTTCGAAAGGCCACTGTTCGGACCTTCCGAAAGGCCGTAGACTTGGCCTTTCGACACTATAGAAGTTGCGACCTTTACCTCTCTGGACTGCAGCGGCTACGACCTTGACTCTTCGGGAAGACTACAGCTACGACTTCTAGACCTGACTAAGACTCCTAGACGACAGGTCTACAGATCGAACTCCTGCGACCTCTGAACCCTGCGACAGTCTACCACTATTACAAATACACAGGTCGTGGGTTCAACTTTAGGGGTCGACACAGGTACTGTACACAGGTAAGCTGGTGACTAGGGATCGAGCCCTGGGATCTGCATCAGCTACTACGAACTGGTGAATACCGTTTCACTCCCGCCGGCCTAAATCCGAGGGTCTCCAAGAATAACTCAGTCCAAGGTAGGACCTTTTCCTTTCCTATCTCTCTCATAGGCTCTAACTATATCGGGAGCTGTTTCTGGAAGTTATGTTCTTGTGAACCAACAGTCGTCTTCCGGCTCCTGATAAGCAAACCGGACCTTATACTATTTTTGTGGACAACCTCAACCTCCTGTTCTGAACACATCTTCACCTACAATGCCGTCAATGTCATATCTTTTGTCCATGTCTGGAGGGATCATGGACCGTCTAGAGGGAAACTGTTGACTGGTGACACACGACAACAATTTTGATGCGTGAAACACAGGGTAGGTGTGGAGGTGAGCTGGGATCTCGATGGTGTAGGACGGCCCATCCTCTCCGCCCTTAACTTCTAGAACCGGCCACGGTCCTCTATACGCGGGCAGTAACTTCTGCGAGATGTTCTCCTCAAGTGCAAACTCTTTAGACTTGACCCAGACCAGGTCGCCTACCTGGAACTGCGATGGGCGACGATGCTTATTAGCCTGTTCTATCATACGGTGCTGGGCTTTCCTGAGGTTTTCAACAACAGTGACTATTTCTTTCTCATGCTGTATCGCGAACTCCCTGGTACCGGGCGGTAGCCTGTGAATCTGATCCCGGTTGAGTCCTTCAAACGGTCTACGTGGTGTAAAGGACTTGTGTAACTCGTTGGGAGTGCGATAGGTAGACAAGTGTACGTTATTATTGTATGCGTTGGCTACCTTGGGTAACATCTCATCCCAGTTAATCCGATCGGGTCTAATGTACATGCGCAAAACTTGCTGCAGGATCTTGCTCATCTGCTCTGTCTGACCGTTAGTCTCTGGACGGCGGCCACACGACATCAGCAACTTTGACCCATAGGCTCTCATGAGTTCCTGCCAGTTCTGGCTGGTGAAGCGACTATCTCTATCGCTAACTATGGACAACGGGACTCCATGTTCACTAACCTAAAAATCGAAAAACTTTTGGATCACTAACTCTGTGCGTGCCTCTGCAGGCAAAGGAACAAAAATAGCATATTTGCTAAATCGGTCAACTACAACCATGACTTGGCTCTTGTCGTGCCTACTCTTGACACCGGCATCCATGAAGTCAATGGAGACTGAATCTCCAGGCTGATCTGGAATGGGCAAGGGTCTGAGAAGACCCAGAGGGGCACGCGTAGTGGTCCTATTCCTCTGGCAGACCTTACAACTGCGGATGTACTCTATGCAGTCGCTCTTCATTCCTGGCCATGTGTACGCGTGCATCAGGTTGAGTCTTTTGCCAACCAAAGTGTCCCTCTGTATCATGGCATTCCCCTAAGATTAGACTACGGATCTCCTCACTATTGGGAATGCACAGGCGGTCTACTACATTAGTCTTCTCGAATAAGAAACCCTATGTAGTGTGGTAATGTGGCTCAGTCTCTGGGGCCTCCTTGACTCTCTTGAGGAGGTCACTATAGATAGGGTCTTGTGGATATGCCTGTCTAACTTTCTCTTGCAGGTCACTCCCTATGTCTAGATAGTGAACTATAGCTCCAAAGTAGTCTGATCTCCTACTCAGAGCATCCGCAACTACATTGTACTTGCCCTTAACTGGCTTGAGCTCAAAGTCATACTGGTCTATCTCAGCGGCCCACCTAGTTAACTTAGGTGTCATCTTGGCCTGTGTCTTCAACCATCTAAGCATCTCGTGGTCGGAGTACACCTTGAAGTGCCTCCCAAGCAGGTAATGCTTCCAATGCTATAAAGCCTGCCTGAGAGCGTAGAGTTCCCTCTCATACGTCGAGGTAGCATCCTCGCTGACATGAACTCTATGGGTAGATAGCCATTGTCGTCGCCCTGCTGTAACACGGCTCCTATACCATACTGACTCGCGTCCGTGGTGACGACAAATGGCAAAGACGGATCTGCTACTTTGAGGACAGGATACTCTATCAATGCGCGCTTTAGTTTCTTTAGCGCAGACGTACAGCCTTTATCCCATTGCCAGATTGTCTCTTTCTTGAGCAACCGGCGCAAGGGGGCGGCGATAGTAGAGAAGTTCCTCACGAACTTCCTTTAATAATTAGCTAGGCCCAAAAACGACCGCAACTCTGTCAATGTGCGGGGCGTCGGCCAATCTCTAATTGCCGCTATCTTACTGTCCTCACGTTTGATTCCATCTCCGTTTAATACGTGGCCCAAGTACAAAACTTGCGTCTTGGCCTACTCACACTTCTTTGCGTTGATCTTGAAGTTAGCTTCCCTCACCTTTTCCAAGACCTGCCTCAAATGACCCTGGTGCTCCTGGAGGGTCCTACTAAATACTAGAATGTCGTCTAAATATACCACGACGAATCTGTCTAACCAAGGCCTAAACAGGTCATTCATACATCGCTGAAATGTGGTTGGCGCATTGGTCAGTCCAAAGGGCATCACTATAAACTCATAATGCCCATAACGAGTCCGGAACGCAGTCTTGTACTAGTCATCAGGATGAACCTCTATTTGATGATAACCGGACTTTAAATCTATCTTTGAGAAATACTTGCAACCCTGCACCCGATCTAAGAGATCGCCTATCCTGGGCAGTGGTTCAACATTCTTGACTGTGATAGCATTCAGACCCCTATAGTCTATACACATACGCAACTCTCCTTCCTTCTTGGGGACAAACGAGACAGGCGCTTCAAAAGGAGACGAACTGGGCCTAATCCAACCCTTCTCAAGGAGCTCGTTCAACTACTTGCGCAGCTCCTCTAACTCTCTAGGGGACATCCTGTAGACTCCTCCCTTAGGAGTTCTACTGCCAGGCTCTATCTCTATCTTCTGCTGGATTGGTTGCGGCACTACTCCTGTCGGCGGCTCAGATAAGTCTTTAAACTCTTCCAGCAGCTTGGCAATGGCTGGATCCGTGGAACTAACCTCTTCCTTAGGCTCAGTGACAGGTCTAACATACACTACAAAGACCTGATCCTCTAACTGCTCCTTTCTCACTAATCGCGCGAACGCGGGAGCACTGAGACAGCAATGTGCCAGGGTGTTGTCTACACCTGACACATGGAACAGACGGGTTGTCTTAACTTCGCTTGACGGACTAGGGAGCCTACACCCGTGCTCTCTCAGATGGAGTGTGGCCCCTGCTGCCTCTCCCCAATCCATGCCTAGGACAATGTCAAAAGGAAGGTCATCCTGTACGAGGAGAGTCAGGGAATGAAGAACTTTCTCCACTTTCCCATCTTTCTCTAGGCAAAAGTACGCCTGGACTCCCTCTACGTAGTCCTCAACACGCATAGTGCGGTTGTCTGCGAGGACACTAACTATGGGGTCTCCCAACTTTTGGACTTTTACTCCTAGCCTCAACTTTTTCAGCGCTCTACGGCTAATGTAACTCCGGGTGGCCCCTGAGTCTATAAGGGCCCCAACTCTACTCCTGAAAACCTCTACATCTACTAGTACTAGCTGCCCTTTGCTATCTTTCTTCATCTTGGCCCAGGCAGCCATCCTCTCCTTCAATTCTTCTGCCATGCCTGTGAGGGACGTGCCTAGAGAGACGCTGACACAAGCAATCTCTGGACAGCTAACTAGGCACGGGCCTGCAACCTCTGCCGATGGGAGTTTCCTCTACGCGCGCGCTCGCTTCCCTACATGGCCTAGAAGTAGGGGCAGTAGCGCCCCTACCGGCGGCTGCCTTTTGACTCCTGGGCAGCCCACCGAGCCTGTCTATATTTAGGACAGTATTTGATGATATGGGCAGGGTCACCGCAATAAATGCACTGCCCCTCCTCCATCCGTTGCTGCCAAATTTTCTGGTCCAGGCCCAGATCTTCCCAGGGCCGGTGTTGTGGCCAACCCGGGTGCCAACCTCCTGACCGATGAGGTGACCTGCCACCTCGTCGCTGTGGGGACCGACTGGGACCTTGACGATTCGGCGGAGGACCTTGACCCCTACCACGTCGTTCATAACGGCTTTGAGTGCCCTGGCACTCCTCCACTGCCGTGAGTGGATGGTTTGGAGTTTGTCAGAGGCTCTTACGCCCCTGCGAAGATCAACAAACCGCTCCCTAAGGAGCTTGAAGAATTGAGGGAGGGGGGTGACTTTGGAATAAGCGACCATGTTGTTTTCACAACCGACCGCGCGCGCGAGGGACCTAGCGAAACTAGCCGCTTCCTCCTTGAGGGCTTGGAAGGCTACAAGGACCTGATCGTCCTGTACGATATGTTGTAAGTAAACATAACTGTTTACGCTAATTCTCCTCAGGCTTCCCGCCGTACGATGGGAACTTAAGCTTAACTGGGTCCTTGCGGGGTCTAGCCTCGCTCTCGACGGTGGCTACTGCTTTGGCACCCTCAATGGTGCCTTCACAGAACTTCCCCACGTTATCTCTCAACCGCCTGACTTCGGCCCCAACGCGGGTAACCATGTCGCGCGCAAACTCTCGAAACCCTGACCGCATGGCATTCAGGGCCACATCGTGACCCCAGTTGGCTTGGCGTTCCTCCAGCCAGGCCTCACTCAATACCTCCAGATACCCCAACATCTTGTCCATTTTGGCAGAAACATCTGCCTGCGCCTGCACTTCTTGCCTACAGGCTCTCACGTTCTCCACCTCTGTGGTCAACCGATAAACTTCCTCCCTCCTTCTCTTCTTCTCCCTCTTCATTCTCAACTTCCACTCCAACTTCTTCTCCCCATCTCCTCCTCCAATTTCTTCATTTTTGCCGCCTGCTCCTCTGCAATTGCTTTCAATTTCGCTTGMTTCAGGAACTCTTTCCTCTCTCTATTCTCTTTCACTAAGGCGGGCATCTGCTCTTGTTGAGCCTGGGTATAGGGGCTAGTGCTCTTCCCACTACGGGTGTCAACCATGGTGATTAGTGCACAACCGGGTTAACGGTTCCAAACCTCACCACTAAGACTCTAACCCCTGATTGACAAACTTACTGACTCAATCTAAAGACTCACAGAATCCGGACAGGGATCCTGTCAACTAGGGTCTCTAGCCTAGACCTACTCTTAAGGCTGTCACTACTAGACCTGTTGCTGATCAGGAGGCATTTAAGGAGATCCCCCGTAACTCCTCAGGAATTATTTAACATCGCAAACAGGACGACGCGATCAGCAGGTCTCTCAACACTTAGACTGCCTATTGTGCAGCCTACAACTCAGCTTTTCGGGCCTACCGTGCCACACCGAGCAGCCCGCCGGTCTGTACCGGTCCTTGGGAGGGTTCGTGTCCTCCGGAACAGTTGAGTCATCAGACACAGTCTTTAGCCCTACTTAGTCCGGCAGGGGTTTGGTCAACGAGGCCCTATCCTTCATCTATAGAGTTCCTACACCTAGACAAAAGAGACTCAATGCAGAAAGAAGAGACAGACTTACTTGACTTTTATGCAAGTACCACAGGGTGTGTGCAGATCCATAGGGCGAGGGGTAAGCTGAAGGCTTGGCGAGATTATACCGGCGCCAGCTTGGTCAAAATCGTGGTCAACAGTCTTGGTCAACGCTCGGTCAACGCTGCAGTCAACCCCCGTTCAACTTTGGTCAACGCAAGTCAACAACTCCGATCAACTCTCCCGGTCGGCTATGGTTGCCGGCTTCACTTTTGTCGCCACCCTTCTCCTTCCTTTCTCCTTCCTCGCCACCTTTCTCTTCACCCCGACTGTCTTCTCTCTCTTTTTTTTTTTTTTTTTTTTTTTTCGTCTCTCTCTCTTCCCCTCCTCGACTATGGTTTCTCTCTCCCTTCTCAGTCTCCTCCTCCGCCTTCTCTTTCAACCTCCTTCGTTCTCTGTGGTCGAGCTCCGCGGCTATGGCCGCCTCTCACTTCACGGGACTGCACGACACGCTTCACAGGTAAGTGGCAACCAAACTTGTATCGCTCAACCTTTCTCTCTCTCTCTCTCTCTCTCTCTCTCTCTCTCTTCCTCTCTCGGTCTTCTTCTTCGTTGTGGTCTTCTCTGCAGGTGCGCACGGTGGCTTCTTCAACCTCGGTATCCGCTATGGCGGACTTCTTCTTCGTCGGCCTCTTCGCTATGGCGCATCACTCCCTGCTACACACAACGCAGCGCGTGGAACAGCGGGTACCATTTCTGATACCAATGCAATTAGACTCGCTTTCATTCACACTTTACATGCATGCAAACAGTAGCGCAGCAAACTGGCGACATGCGCCCACTCGGTACTCAGTGATGTGGCAACCAGATACGGGTTCACTTCCAATGGCTATGGCGATATAGCGCCCATACAACTCTCTGTTCGCATACAGTGGATCACCCTGGATTTCCCACACGCGTCTCTCTGAACACTTACACACACACACACTGAACACCAACTACAGCTATGGCGGCTATAGCCGTCTCTACCCTATCGCTATGGCTAAGCTTCGTCTCTCTGCCCACTTCGTCTTCGGGCTCACTGCAGACCTCCTTGCACAAATCGCTGTGGCAGCGCTTCCGCATGGCTCACACAGGAATGAATCAATGGCTGGGCGTTGTCTCTTGATTTATACTTCTGCAGTGCGTTGGTCTGGCCCCTTTCCCAGGCCCAAAGTGCACACAGTCCCATGCGGTACTTGCTTGGCTGGACCAGGACTACCTAGGAGTGGGACTCCTGACTCAGCACGGGCGGACTCCACCACTTGCCTTACCACTTGCCCACTTGCCTCAGCCTAGTCGTGGGAAACTTCGAAAGGCCACTGTTCAGACCTTCCGGAAGGCCGTAGACTTGGCCTTTCGACACTGTAGCAGCTGCGACCTTGACCTCTTTGGACTGCAGCCGCTACGACCTTGACTCTTTGGGAAGACTACAGCTACGACTTCTAGACCTGACTAAGACTCCTACACGACAGGTCTACAAATCGAACTCCTGCGACCTCTGGACCCTACGACAGTCTACGACTGTTACAGATACACAGGTCGTGGGTTCAACTCTAGGGGTCGACACAGGTATTGTACACAGGTAAGCTCGGGACTAGGGATCGAGCCCTGGGATGTGCATCAGCTACTGCGAACTGGTGAATACCGTTTCATTGGGGTTCATTTACCACTAGCACGGAAGAAGACCGGATCCGGCTAAGCTGGAGAAGTTGATCCTGTGGCCGTCTCCCCTAAAATCAATCACTAAGGTACGACAATTTCTAGGGGTCGTGGGCTACTGGCGCATCTTTATAAAGGCCTACAGTGACAAAGCGGAGCCCCTCCGGAAGTTGCTCCGTAGAGCTGAGAAGTGGGATTGGGGAGGAGACCAGGGAAAGACGACGGAAACCCTCAAGGAAGAGTTCCGAGAGGGAGGCCAAGTGCTAGGGGTGCTCTTCTTTGATGATGAAGAACATAGGTCGCTCACAGTGTCGACAGATGCTGGGCCTTTCTCGGTAGGAGGGCTCCTGTCCCAAAAGGACAAAGAAGGGAAAGGGCGGCCCTTAAGGTTTGAGAGTGGGGCGCTCAACACTACAGAGAGAAACTACAGTCAATTCAAGAAGGAAGTATTGAGAGTGTTGCACTGTCTGAAGACCTTTAGGCATTACATTTATGGAAGGAAATTCCTCCTTCGGGTAGACCCGACCGCGGTGGCGCCTGTGCTTCAGAAAGACTTTTCCCCTAACGGACCCAACGATAGCTCGATGGATGATCCACATCAGGCTATATGATTACAGGGTGGAAAGCATCTCGGGGGCTAAGAACCAAGTAGCCGATGGGTTGTCCCGAATTCCGATCCGAGAAGAGGACCGCCCGAGGCTAGAGGAAGAAGCTCACTCAATGGCCAAGGGCAATACCGTGAGCATCGCAACGAATAGGGTGGTGCCGGAATCTGTTCCCAAGGAAGGCACGAGCGGAGGATCGGGGGTTTTCTTAGCTAACCTTTATGACGGGAAATATCGGGATATAGGACTGTACTTAGCCGGTCGGCAAGAAGGGACCGAGGTCATGAGGAAAGAAGCTCTCCGGTACTGTTTGAAAGGGAGACACCTTTTTAAAAGACCCACTAAGCTGGCAATGCCCATGAGGGTACTCTATGATCCGCAGAAAAGGAAAGCAGTCATAGAGGAATTGCATGATGGGATCGTTGGCGGTCATCGAGGGGTGAAGGGGACATTCGACAAGGTTCGAAGGCTTTATTGGTGGGATGGGCAATACGCGGAAATTGAAAAATACTGCACTACTTGCGATGCGTGTGAAAAGAGGGCAGTAGTCCGCTACAAGGAACCCCTTTTTCCTTCCTTTCCTACCGCGCCTGGGGAGAAGGTCCACATCGATCTGATAAGGGGGGGTGCGATACATTATTAACGCCCACGATGATCTGACGGGGTTCGTGGAAGCAAGGGCCATTAAAAAGAAGACCGCTGAAGAAATTGGCGACTTTCTGTTATAATATATTGCTAGGTTCGGATGCGTAGGGAAGATTGTCATGGATAGGGGATCCGAATTCACGAACCAGAAAGTTAAGGGGATATTAGAGAGGGCGGGAATCCAGGCGGCTTATACAACCGCTTACCATCCCCAAAGCAACGCGCCGGTGGAGCGAGGGCATCAAACATTGATAGAAGCCTTAGCAAAATGGTGTAAGGGTCGGGAGACCCAATGGCCGCGTTTTCTGAGGTATGTCGTTTGGGCGGATAACGTGACGGTCAAATTAAGCACGGGGTACCCCTTTTACACACTGTGGTTTGGCTGACATTGCCCTTTGCCTATCGAATTCCATGTGGACACCTGGACGAGTGTCTCATGGAAAGCCAATATGACAAGGGGCGAATTATTAGAAGCAAGGTTGCGGCAAATAGCTAAGAGTCTGGATGTTGGCATGATGGAGGCGGCCCAAAACATTAAGAAGGAAAAAACGAAGGGGAAGGAAAGGTGGGATTGAAACTTGCGTGTTCGACACGAGCCAATCAAGGTTGGGGACCCCGTCCTAATGTATGACTCGTCACTCAAAGACCTGGGCAAGGAAGTTGGCCAATCGTTGGATGGGGCCATTCCGGGTGCTTAAGCGGTTAGATGGGGGAGCCTACCTTCTCACTGAATTAGACGAGGCCCGACTCAGAGATCCTGTCGCAGGAGCACGTCTAAGACCTTCTCGACGGAGAGGAACTCTGGGAGCAGATCCAAAAGGGAAAGGAAAGGTCACGGTACCCACGGGAGGAGTCATCTGCTATGAGAAGGGCGAGACCTCGAAACAAGGGTCGACGCCAAAGGCTCCGAAGAAACGATACCAAGTCTGAAGATCTTCGCTGCCAAAAACACCGAGAAGGCGAAAGAGGCCAAGGGATGAGGCTGAAGATGAGGATCGTAGCCGAAACCGTCGAGTAAAGGAAAGAAGGAGTGTGTCGCGAAAAACCTTGAGAGCGAAGCATGAGAGAGCATAAAGAAAGCGCAGGAGGGAACGGCGAGAGAAAAGGATGAGGAGGAGAAGGCGGGTGTAGTGCTTCTCGAATAGAAGACTGTACCATGACTAGAGAACGGGCCCGATAGAGACCGAAAGGAGGGGTATGTTCGGGAACAGGGAACCATGTACCCTAGTCAAAAGAAGGAATAAAACTCAGGAAAGGATGCTTCTTGGGTAAGAATATGTACCATAGGTGGATGAGGTTAGTGACTGACATCGTGAGGGTGGGAGAAGAGTGTGTGTCACGAGCCATGCACTATAACCGGGTGAGGGGGTAGGTAGAGGTTGTGAACAAGAAGGGGTGTGTCGTAGGGAAAAGTACAAGGGAATGTACCATAGTCACGAAAAAAAGCAACAG